ACAAATTTGCAATTATGAAATGAAAGATGTATGACAAAATTTGTATATCATATAAGAAAATATTATTTGAAAGAAATCAATAAAGATTCTTTATAAGATTGTTTGTAGGAAATTCATATTTTTCATTCTCATTCGTTAAATTTATAATGATAGATTCTATTGACAAGATTAATAAGACAATTAATGATTTAATAAAAAAAATATATTATCTTTTTAATTTTAAAAACATGTTATTTTGATGTTAATAGCGTTTGACGGACAAATATGCGTGAAATTTCGTTAGAAAACATGCTTTTAGTACATTTGTAAAGTTAAAAAGGTAATATTTATTTTCGTATTATGCAGAAACGCGAAGTTTAGAGTGAGTATATTATGATGAATTGTCGTTATTCAATACGGTTTAGGTGGACAATTATTAACCCTTTCATTATTATACGATTCTCAAAACTGATCATAGAATTCTTTGTTATATAGTGACTAAACTCAAGATTAAATTTTTTATGGTCAATTTCTTGTTGTAAATTAGTATTAAAATATTATTATTTAAAATAAAAAAAACAACAACAACAGTATTTAAGTTTAATAGTATATGATTAACTTGTTTGAAATTGTTGTGTTTCTGTATGTTGTGGATTTAATTTGAGTATTTTAAATTTTTTATCACATATAAAAATAATAATTATAAAAGGTATTTGAAGGCCAGCAAGAACAAAGAAATACAATGTATACGTCCATTTATTAAGATCAAGACACTAAAAATTCAATGAAAATATCACAGGAATAAAACGATAATAATTTATTATACTTACACTAAAATCAAATTTACTAGTAGTCGTTGAATATATTGAAAAATATGCCTTGGCAAGAAATGATGAGAAACCTAGTAAACAAAATTGCAAACTCATTAATAATGATTGAGCTGAACGTGGAGCTGCTAAATAAGCATATTCAAGACTAGCCACAGTAGCAAATATTTCAGCAAGACCCATGCATATATTTTGTGGTAATTGAGCATATATACTCAAACTTGAATCACTTTTTCCTAGACAATTTACATATAATTATAAAAAGAAAAAGAATTAATAAATACTATACCTAAAACACAATTTTGTTGTCGAAAAATTTCAATTGTACCCGCAATACACATAGCTAATGATGCTAAAATCATTCCCGTAATAAGTTTAACTCTTATTGAAACTCTTCGTTTTGGAGCATTCAAACATTTATAAACAAATACTGCTAACATTGAAATACCAACTATCATATAAATTTATATATTATATTAAAAAAAGAAACATTTATAAATCTGAATAAACTTACTAATAATTGTTACGGAATCACCAAGTGACATCCAACTAATAGGTATTTTATCATTATCATGTAAAATTGGTATATACATTTGTTGACCTTGTAATGGAAATGTTATTTGAATCTAAAAATAGAATATATTCCAAAGAAAATTTATTTTCTTTTAAAGATAATTTATTATACTTGAAAATAAATAATCCAATATGGAATAAGTAGAACGTAAACAATAAGAGCTGTTCGAAGTGCTTTAACATCATTAACAATTCGATCAGGATATTTACCATTATTAGCTGCTTTTGCATAATCAAGAAATGAAAGTGCTTGTTCAGCTGGAAACGATGAATCTTCTTGACTAATCGAATTTCGATTATTCCATAAACCACGATATCCATCTCTTCTTTGATTATTATTATCATTATTATTAACACGATATTTAAACCATGTTTGATATGCATTTATAGTTATTGGAATACATTTCAATATGACTGAATCAAATGGAGGTACATGAATATAATATTGAAAACCACTAAGAAATAATCCAGCTGAAATAATAAGCGTAAATAATGCAATAAGATATCCATAAAAATAACTATTCGCTTTTGTCATATTATCTGAATCATTTTGAACTAAGGGAATAGATAATGTGGCAATAACAGCACCTATATTTACAGCTATGAAATATTTATAGAAATATCTTGATGTCACTTTTGATGCTTGAATTTGTTCGGCTCCAAATACAGCCATATTTGCTTGAACAGCTCCCACACCAATAGCTCTATATTTAAAGATAAATTGATATAAAGAAAAAAGTCAACTTTTTTAATATATATATATATATATAAAACTCACGTAAAAACAAGTGTTCCGATGATTTGAAGTCCACAATGTTCAGTAAATATTGAACTGTGTGTAGGAGATGTACCTGTACATATAGTTTCATGTGTAGCAGCATT